CAAGACATGGTTATAAATAGGTGTGCTCATGAATATACAGAATGTACTGAAGAGTCAGGAAGTGGCGTGCTATTTATGGTTAATAGAGCTTATTGATAGGTAGCTGTTAGGTACTTCTTCATGCACCCGCTGAGAAACATCTAGTTCAGTGATCTAGCGACCATTCGCACGCCAACTCTTCAACATCTACCAAAACTTTATCCTCCCCTTATCCTTACTCCTACCCTTTCGTCTGGGGAACAGGAGACCTGTTATCGCGTGGTAGTTGAATCTCCTTTACCGGGTGAAGCACCTGTAATTGAGTAAAATTATTCGGAGCAGATATTGGAGCCTCGAGATGAATAGAGGTTCTAAACGGAAATGGCAGTTCGCAATCAAGGATGTACGAATAGCAACATGGAGTATAAGACACTGAATGGAAAAGAAGTAGAGCTTGTTGAAGAAATGCTCAGATATAAGTAAAAAAAAAAAATTGCATTGAAAGATATCTTACATAAATGTCCGCTGCGTTGGTTCGGACATGTAATATAAGGACCGAGACCAACAGGAAGACCCAGGATTACATACAGTGAAGATGTCCACAACCTGGAATAAAAAATTACGAAAAAATCTTGCTCGAATGAGACAGCTCGCACAAGACAGACACAAATGGATCATGTAGATCGAGACTCCTCCGAAATGAGAGGTATATGGAGAAAGGGAAGGAAGAAGCTTTTTGACTGTTGGTGCGCTGTTTTCGATCAGTATTTTTGTGATGTGTTTTTCTAATCTCGTGATGATTGACTTAGATTTGAGAGGCTTAGGGGTTCGTTTTTGAAATTATCCAATCATATCTTGTCTGCGATCATTTTATTATAACATATTAATTGAAGGGGGATGGGAAAAAGAAAGTTGAAATCGGTTTGTTAATACAATACTATTCTTATCTCTACTTACATTATTTTTTATTTAAGACGTTTTTGTAATAAATCTGCCGTAGAATTTGTACCTCAGTGGTGCGATAAGATTATTAAGCCATCCTGAGGCTTACTTATCTCGACATCTTAATTTCTCCATTACGTTTCTGGTTTTAATCGGATCATGATTGTGTTTTTTTTTTTTGTTTTTTTTTTCTCTTTGCTATTTACCGAGATGTTCATTATCTAAATTGAGTGGCTCTCGAATCGACGACAAAGACCAAAGGCGCCTTAATTCTTACGATACCTGTTATCTTATTGGTAGCAAGGAGAAAATTACCTGGACCATATCTCTCCTCTTTGCTGCGTCATACTGATTGCCTTTCATACCCTGATAAATCATTTCTGAATAGAAACAACTTAGTAGGTGTTGAATATACTCCGAATTTTCAACCGAAATACCTGCAGTATTATTTATTTGATTTGACTAGTTGGCACGTGCTGATAATTCGCATAATGTATTCTTCAGCGAACAAATGACAATATAATAAGGAAATAATTGCGGTCAGTCCTGAAAAATGTACTTTTTTAGGCTACTTCCGAAGGAATCTAACCGGGATTTAGATTTCTGCGTCGAAGTCTCTAAAACTCATTTTTTCTCATTGATTTTGTAGTTTTGAAATCAGGATTCATCACTTTTCCATGAAATCCTCTTTCGTTTGTTAGATGATTCATCAAAAATCATCGCTCATGAGAGCTAGAGAAGGTTCTATACTACCGTATTATATTGGGTATAGATTCGAAATGTATTTTTATTTTTATTTTATGGTTGGCTATGACTTCCTGTCCTACAGTGTCCTTTAACAATACTCCATGTATCCCTGTTGAACAAATCCGATACCTAGGACTCCACCTTGACAAACGACTCTCTTGGAACCCCCATACCAGACTGAAACGACTAGAAACCGCCCGACGTTTCCGACTACTCCAGCACTTACTAGACAAATGCTCTAAACTTCCAATTAATTACAAAAGACTCATATATATTACTAAAATAAGGCCTATTTGGACTTACGGGATCGAGCTTTGGGACTCTAATAAACCATCAAATTCCTCTCGTATCCAATCCCTACAATCCAAAATCCTTCGTAAAATCTTTAATGCTCCCTACTTTGTCACAAATAAAATCATCCATCATGACCTTTATGTACCATATGTTTCCGATTTAGCTCAATCCAGATACCTGTCCTTTCATAATAAACTTCTGAACCATCCGAACCCTCTTGTTTCCAACCTTGCTTCCTCTTCTATTCCTGATAACGCTCCAAGGCGTCTGAAAAGAAGATGGCCTCGGGACCTTCTAATATAGAAATATAATTGGAGTGCTACCAATGGGTAGTTTCTCTTCATGTTGTACATGTCATGTTACTTGTTCATATTTACTTGTGGTATTTATTATTTAATACAGTTGTAAATTTCTTTAATAAAAAAAAAAAAAAAATGATGGTTGAAAGAGTAAATCTATAGTTTAACCAGCTCGTTTGTTCGGAGAATTTAATATTCATTCAGTTTTATATCCGGTCAATAAAACGAGGGATCACTGTACGATTTCTCAATCACATTCAGCTCAATCTTACGAGAGGCCATAGTATAATGGTCTAACTTTTGAATTGGTTTTTATTAAAACAAAAGGAACAGTTAAAGAAAAAGATTACTGGCAGTTAATCGCTGACCAAGATCAATACAAAACTTATTGTAGACTTGTGGAAGGAGTCACGAAGGCTAACCCAAAGGAAGGCATTAGGGATGGGGTACCGACCGCTCTCTGTCCCTAGCATGCCATCTTATTTATTTATCATGCGATATCTCTATTAGAGAATAAAAAACATTATTAAGTGCGCAGTGAATCGGCGCTGGCAACACATTAGCAGGACATTTCTTCCCAAATTTAGATTTCAGCGCAGTTCTTTTTTTTTCTATTTCTGCTTCAATTTATCGATGGCTCTTTCGTCTTGGTTATGGAATAATCTCAAAATATTACATACTGATGAAACTTTAAAGAAATCGGATGTTGATCAGTAATAATTAGAGAAGGCGATGTGTCTTTTTGGAGCGTATGATTTATAGTTGTTAAGTTCAGAACGTTAGGTAATAATGTTCTTGTAATAGATTGTTAGGGCAAGAATCATCGAAGAGCTGGAAAGATATCCAAAGTTTATTTTGTTCGATTTAAAATGTCATTTATGAAATAATTGATGGTAGGGATTCCCATCTCCCCCATAAGGTCGATGGTGTAGAACCGCCCAAAATATTTTATTGCTCATATCATCTTAAAAACAAATAGAATTTAAAAAAACGTACATCAAATACAATTACAGTTGATGCTGTTCCTTGTTTTCCCTTTGTTCCCCCTGGTTTGAAACTTTTCATTCTGAAAATTTATAATCTCGTCGAAATGTGTCCTCAAAAATTCAAAACCCCTTAAAAATTGCCCTAAACAAATTTGATGGCGCAACTTGCGCTATGAGATTTAATTTATAGGATTTTTGAAAACTTATTTTCTATTTTTTGATATATATATATATATATATATATATATATATATATATATATATATGTAAATTTTAAAATAAAATAATGATAAAGATGTCAAATCACAAATGTTGACAGAAAACCATTGTACTGTGTTTAGTATGTAAAAATATTGTTCAACGTGCGTTCATCAAACATTTCTTGATTCGATAAAGGTGTAGTTTATTTTGACTTTGACCAAGAAAGGAAACACGTTGTTATATGTCATACTTTTAATGCTATATGATTGATTAAATGTGCCGACGTTTCTGACTTAATTTGTAGCCTTTCATCATGCCTAAGCAAAACCAGATAGAAACTTTATGTAGTAAGTTTATATTTTAATATTATAATGTGTATTTTGTGCGTGGAAATACAACTGTTTGTGTATAATTGCAGGAAATTGTGCCTTCATTAAGCACTGTTTTACAATCGTTTGTTTTTTGCGTTGCTCCATGAAGTTATATAACGTTGTGTACTGTGTCGCCGTAATGTTCGCAATTAACTTAGTTTATGACGTTATGTTTGTGAAAGGGATTAACACTATCTTTGTCTCGCGGATTATCTGTTGTGTATCAAGATTTTTTATCTATCCTTAATGGTTTCTTTTATTTTTTTTTCATTGTTTAAATGGATGGAGCTAACTTCGCTCAGTTGGGACAAATAAACATTTTGAAAATGGAGGCAGACATCACTTTTAGTTTTTACTTCTTCAACTACTTGGTTCTATTAGTGTAGTAATACGTATATCGAATTCTCTTTCTATGCGTGCTTACGTTTCGGACTACATTGAAAACCATTATGAAGGCCTGCAAACAATATTGGATTCAGAATTTAATTTTAGGAGGCTTCAGCCCGAAAGGTTTATACATATATAACGATAATTACGTTAGAAGGAAAAGAAAGAAGTTAACTACCTACTTGAAATGGTGGTTAAGTGGTTCTTGAAGTCCTATTAAATGTAATTACACAAACAATAGTATTTTTAGAGATAATTTCTTAATATTTTGCTTCCTCACTTTTGAAGGTTGGGAAGCATTGTATTTTTCATAAGACATGGTTGTATTTTACCATTTGGGGGGAGGAGCTTCAGCCTGAAAGCCCCCAACTTAACTCGAAATGTTGGCACATATAAAAATAAAGTTTTCCTAATCTATCTTCTTCATTGACCACACTCCTCCCTTTTTCCTTTCCCATTCTTTCTCCAACCAACTTTAAAATTCTTCTATGGTCAACTACCCAGATGGATCTATGGATCTGGGTGGAAGGGAGGGGAAGGGGGACTTTCGGGCTGAAGCCCTCCCCCCTAAAAATGGTAAAATATAACCATGTTTTACAGGGAAAAAAAGTATTAAAAACTATCTCTTAAAGTATTCTTGTTCGTGTAATTACATTTAATAGGACTTCAAGAACATCTTAAACACCATTTCATATAGGTAGTTAATTTTTTTTTTTTTTCAAATTAATGATCGTTATATATTTATGAAAAAAAAGTCATTCAGGCTGAAGTCCCCTCCCTCCAAATATTAAATCCTGGATCCGCTAGTGGTCAACTATATCTGCTCTTTTATGTGCAACAGTAAAAGAAATCAATTTGCATTATATTAAATTTACCTATTTATTTTACGTTTTTAAGATCAAGCTACAGATAAAAAATTATATATTAATTTAGGTATTGATGTTTAAAAAGTGCCAAATATGAAATTTGACGGGAAAATATTTAGATATGTCAAATAAAGAACAAAATATTTAATTTAAAGGACTAATATAAAAGATATTGTTGATTTGAATGTTGGCTATGGTAATACTAAAAATAAATGAAAAAAAAAAATGTTGCTTTGAGACCTCTCATACCATGGAAGTAATTGTGTTCAATTCTACAGCCATGCCAGAAAACTTTAAAATTATTTATTCAAAACTTTTCAAAAACTGTACCGCACCTGACCAAAAAAGTTACAGCTTCTTATACCAATCCAAAAGTTATATCCTTACTGCTGTAATTTAATATATTAATTAAAAAGTCAATAGAAGATTGAAAATAAGATTAAAATTATTGAAACTTGAAGATGTTTACAAATTTACCTTTTTGCATATTTTAAAATAAAATCTTTTATATATATCACTCAATATTTTGTCTAAGTAAGACACTTTTTAGAATAAAAATTTAATATAAGTAAGAAATGAATGTAATGCTTAGATTTTCTTTGTCATTGCAGGTTGAACAGAGGGATGTTCCGGGGATTGACTCTGCATATCTGGCCATGGATACCGAGGAGGGATTTGAGGTAGGTTCTACTCTATATTTCCATCGTGCTTAAGAGCTAATGGTAGTAAACCATCATTCATTCTTTATTTTTATAAATAAGTTGTCTAGTTGTAATGACATGTAAATTTTGAATTTTTAAAAATAGTAGTAGAAATACTTGTACCTTGGGTCACTTTTTTTTTAATACTCCATAACTTCTAAAATAACAATGATTTTGAAAGTTCAAAATAGAATTTTATTTGCCATGCATTGAAGATACTATGTTAATTTTTACATTATTTTATTATTAAAAATAATAAATGACCCCAGGTACAATTTTTATAGTTGTACCTTGAGCCACTTCATATTTTATCTTGGGCAACTACTTATACCTTAGGCTACGGATTATATCTTGGGCTATATTTGTTGTAATACGAATTATAATTATTACTGAATAATAAATATCAGTTATCTACACTGGTAAGCTAACTTTTTCATATCATTCGTTGAAAGCTCACAATATACTATGCTTGCAGTCAGTAAATAACTTTTATGAACTCCTTCAGTAAAAACCCTAAAGCAAGGATTTGTTTTCACAAGAAACATATTTTGAAATTATAGTAATTGGGCCGGCCCAAGGTACATGATAAAACAGTGGCCAAAGGTACATTGATATGACTATGTTTTTATTATTTAATTTTTTAGCAAAACCCTAGAGTATTTTGCTTAGGACTTGGCTTCAAAAGAGGTTAAAGAGATTACTATACATCAATCTACTAATAATTTTGAGTATATTTATGTACTTTTTTGATGAAAAATTGTTATATCAAGTAAAGAAAAATTACTTTTCCAACTCTGAAGCAATCTTATGAATATTATCAAAAAACGGAACGGATCAGAGGCATCACAATCGGCTACAAAGTGTTCTGGCTGTGCAGCCTACACAATTTTGCCACGAATTCTAAATTTTCCCCAGTGGAATTTCTTGTCCTTAGGGTGACCTAACTTACACGTATTTCCTCTACTATTCAGTTAAAACTTGTTGTTTATAAGCTGTTTAGGCATGTGAATGACAACACACGAACAATTATTGAAAGCAATAAAACAGATTGTATTATCAGATTGAAACTTTTTGCCAGTTATCCTATGTAATAATAAACACTGATTATAGCTTGTTTGAAACTGCTTATATTTCATCTTTATAATTTCCAGATACTTTATATGATAATTTATGCTTGCAGTTTTAATTTTATAAAATCAAACTTTACTGTAACTCCTCAAATTATCTAATTTATCTTACATAAGCTGCTCCTTTGTTGGGTTAGAATAACTTTCTGATCAACTGAGCTGGATCCATTTGGAGAAATCAAAATCTCTAAGCTTATTTTACTCAGGTCAATTAATAAACTTTATTGGAAACTTTTATAAATCGCCTCTATTATTTTTATAAAAATCAGTGTAAAAAAAAAATTGATTTATAAATTTAGTCCTTTTAATAATTATTAGTCATACCAATGCTACAAAAGTTATAGATTTTTGTATAATCCATAAATTTAAATATTATTCGGGGTGATCGGTCAATAATAAAAATGGCAAAATAAATAATGATATTTATTTTAACATTTGCCGACGTTTCGACCTGAAGTTCAGGCCTTCATCAAGGAAGAGATACATATCGATCAGCCCTGATGAAAGCCTGAACTTCAGGTCCAAACGTCGGCAAATGTTAAAATAAATATTATTGTTTATTTTTGCCATTTTTATTTTTGACTGATCACCCCAACTATCCTTCTCTTCATTATTCATTATTCTCATGTTAATTATTTTTTTGTTTGTTATTTCCTTTCTCCTTCTGCTCTTTGTGTTATAACTTCAGTTTTTTTATTAAAATTTGTAATTGTAAATACTTATAGCCAAAGTATCCTTTCATTGTACAAATGTATTAGCAATAATTAGTTCTCTGAACCTATCTGCGTTTTCTCATAGATTTTGTTATATTTCATTCTACTCTTTTATAATTTAATTTTGTCTTTAAATTTGTTTATAGTATTTGGTTTGATTGTTATCTAATTTGCTAATTTAATATGTATATATATATATATATATATATATATATATATATATATATATATATATATATATGCATGTATGTATTTTTTAAAAATTTAAATGCTAGACTAAAGTGTTTTAACTTACTCTTCACTTATATCAGTTAAGGAAATTATGGTTTTTAAGCAGGTCGTATGAAAGAAAAACTTTATTCATAACTTTTTGTTTTGTTCAGGTGGAAGGCTGACAGATTGGTGACTGAATATTCATTGTAATAAAGAGGAATTTAAATGGTCAATTCTGTTGTAGGTGGTCTGGAATGAGGTACAATTTTCGGAAAGGAAGAATTTCAAGGCACAAGAAGAGAAGATTCAGCAGGTTTTCGAAAACCTTACACAACTCGAACATCCAAACATCGTCAAATTCCATAAATACTGGACAGACACTCATAATGAAAAGCCGAGGGTATACTAGATATTTCAAATAAGTTATTTATTTTTCTTAAATTTCATGTTATGTTAATATACATGTATTATTGTACAATGTGAACAACCAAAGACTGCTCACAGTCAAATGTATATTTGCTAATGTCTAGGTAATATTCATCACTGAATACATGTCATCTGGCTCGTTGAAGCAGTTTCTAAAGAGAACCAAGCGCAATGTGAAGAAACTCCCTCTTCAAGCATGGAAGAGGTGGTGCACTCAGATCTTATCGGCTCTCAAGTGAGTACCTTTACTCTTGCTCTTTTCCTGATTAGTATGTCACCATAATTATTATAAATGACAATTTCCTCTGTAATAAAGCAGTTGTTACTAACTTATTATCTTATTTGAATAATTTTAAATATTTTGAATTATTGAAGATATGTTGAAAACATAAATTATTCATCGGTAATCTTGAGTTAATGGCTTCTGCTTTATTTTGTTCTAGGGATCAATAAAGGGAAAGTAGTCATCTCTTGTTAAATAATTTAAAATAAAAAAAAAATTATTTATATAGAATAATCTCATTAAGTTTATTTTGTATCTAAAGATTGGATATTGTGTGAAAGGAGAAAATATTAAATAGAGTGTTCAATATATCTTAGTTGACCAATTTTTCAAACATTACTACAATTTTTCCACTTTATATACCTGTTTCTGCCATTTATAAAATATGATGTGAAATTTGCAAACAATATGTTGTGGTTTATCACTTAACATTATTGTCCAATTGGGCTGAGTATTCATATAAAACATGAATTTTTTTATTATTATTGAAAATTTGAGATCACTACTTTATTTTTATGTCCCTTTCTATTTTTATATTTATGTATATATATGAGGACCTCCAGATCAGAATTTCTTTTGTCCTTTTACATTTTCATTCACAAAATTCATTTCGACGTGGAGAAAAACGTAGACAAAATTCATTCTGCACTGAACTACAAAATCATAAGCTAATAATTTAGTGACAAGAAGCAATTTGATCCAAAACATTTCACACTTAAATTTCTCTATGAAAATAGTTAAAAATTCCAGTGTAAAATGAATTTTGTCAAAAATGGAAAAATTAATTTTAATCAGGAGCTCCTCGTATTTGATTACATCTTTATTGATGATTTAGTAGGTTTTATTTTAAATGGTAGGTCCACAAACAGCAATGTGGGGCATTTATCCCCTTTTTCTCGTTTATATTTATATTTGACAAAATGTTTTAGCTCATGATTGGTACATCGGATTTCAATCTTATTGGATTTAATCTTATTTTTACATATGCATAGCATAATGTCATCACTTTAAATTGTATTCTAAACTGATTAGTTTTCTAATTTTTTTTTTCTCACAAAGTAGCAAAATTAGTACATGGAAAGTTTGGTTTTGATATCATTTTAAAATCTTGTGTTTCTTTAAAAAAATATATCTCCATAATAATAATCTTTAATAAGTTAAAATTTTATTGAAAATTGAGCCTGGGTATTGTTCAATGTGTACATTTTCCTTGTACCGCCGAATGATTCTGTATCAAAACAGACTCCATAAAGTTGTGATTTATATTAAAGACTGTGTTATTTTTGTAATTTACTATTTATATTATATTTCTGTCACTAACATTATTAAATTACATTTATTACAATATCTTTCTTTGAAATTTACAGTTTTGTTTTACATAATTATGAATATTTTTTATTAAATTGATCTATAGAACATAAAGATTAATTTTTAAATCAAAAGAAAATAATTCATTTTAAGCAAATTATTCAGATTTACTGTACAATAGAATTTCCATTGTTAATATTCCCTTCTTTGCTGGATAGTAATTTACGAATTCCATTTTTGTTTTGGAGTAGAAAAACAAGAGAGGTTTTTGAGGTGTTAGATTGTTTGTTTCTTCTTCATTTTTTATTTTTCTCTGGCAAAAATACCAAAGGTAAGGAAAAAAATTGTGGATAAAAAAATTATTTTCCAGTCTAAAATTGTATTTCTGTTGAGTCAGAGTATGATTTTCTTTTATTGTCTGTTACCTTTGGTGTTAGTTGAATTTCATACAGTCTTATCTGATTGCAGAGTTAGGCTTGAAAATTATTTTGCAAACACCATAATTTTGGTATACTACTTTCATTTTACCATACATTTCTTAATTTCCAAAATATGTTGAAGCTCAAAAAGAAAATCCAAATCCAAAATAAACTGGTATGAATTGTTCACCTCTTAAAGTGAATTTTTTTACAGATAATGAGTGGAATAAGAAAATTGCCAACCTACTTAGAAGAGCTTATTATTAATATTGGAAATTAGATTGTTGGCTCGGTATTTATAAATGAGTTCAAGTGGAATATTTTATGTTAGTTAAAAAAAAAAAAAAAAGAACTTTCTAGTTAATTTAATACAAGTAAATATCTCATCTCAAATAAAAGTTTTTTTTAATTGAAGTTGTATGAATTTTTTAATTGTTTGGTGGGTTCTGTAGTATTTTAACTTAAACCGTTGTTATTATTGGGCAAATCACAAGGTATGAAAAGTTAACGATGTATCAAGATTCATCTTTCATACTTTCAAGTAAAGTATTTTTCACCTTAACAATCTTAAAAATTACCTTATTGAGCTCTTTAATGCCTGATGCATATTCAGTGAAGCATCAAGACTTGTTTATTTAAATCAGACACACATGTTTATGTTTACATTAATGTCTTACGCAATGAAAAAAGTCATCCTAAAGTAAGCCTCTGATTTTTTATAACGTTATTTAAATTCTAAAGTATTTTTCATATTTATTATGTGTTTCAATAATCTTCTAAAGTTTTAATTTTAAGCCTGAACATTCTTTCATCTATATGAAGATATACTTTTAATATTTGTTGAAAGCTCTGAATTTATAGTGCTATATCTATCACTATTAACAGATGAAATAATCTTATGATAATTAACTATAAGCGTGTTAAAAGAATACATAGTAATTTGCTTTGTTTTAAAGTAAAGCATCTTCCAACACCTTTGACTGTATAATTCTTAAGCAGTTCAGTCATTTGTTTTGCCTTATTAAACAGTGTAACATATTTTCATTTTTCTTGTTGAAATTCTCACATTAATATTTAATTTTAAGATTGTAAAAATTATTATTCCGCGTATAGAAATTCCATAATTTATACAACACTTTATTTTCTAATTAAAATTCGTCTGAAAATAATTTGATAAATGTTTTCAATATATATCAAGGTTCATTATGTACAGATTCTGTTGTATTTTGTCCACAAATACTAAAATTAATAGTTCAATATTTTGTTTTTTTCTGTTAGAAATTTTGTCATAATGTGCAAAAATTTTTTGCATTAATCTTATCAGAGGAAAATTATCAAAAACCTATTATTATCTCAATTATCTAAGCCGGTGCCAACTGCTAAAAGTAAGCAAGCCATTCTCGCGGTTCATTACCCATTAGAAAGCCCATAGAACATGACATTTCATGTTTTTAGTGTAGTAAGAAAAGCCTGCTGTATGCAGAAAAATGATTTAGGTCTTGCAGGTTTATTATCTGCATTTACTCAATCAACAAAAATCACCGTTCGGACACATCACAGTTCATTTTATGTACCAGGCTTAGTTTTCTGTATTTTCCAGTAGTTTTATTTGTGTGCAAAAGGAAATATCTGAAATGAATAGATGATTTTTTTTCTTTAATTTCTTTTTATTCTGTGTTTATTGGATTGCTCATTATTTTTTACTTAAATAATACTCGCTTTTGAAGTTTATCACTAATTTATGTGCATATTTTATTTACATTGTTAACTTTAAAATAACATGATTTATAGTGCTGACTATATTAATGTTATCAAATAACAGTAAATTGTAGTTATTGTTATAGTAAAATTTTGACAGCTTTCCATTAACTTACAATTAATGAGTATATTCACTTAGAATAAATTTAAAAATTGTTTGTTTTCATTTGAATATATCTTTTTTTTTTCTTTATTAAAACTTCAATTTTACCTTCTGCAAAATGAAAAATCATTTTGTACTTTCAGTCAGATCTATGTTTGCATTTGTATACATAAGCTGGTTGAAATATAAGTCCACAAATTACAAAAAATTTGTATAGGTGCAGTTAAATTTAATTTAAATTTAAACTGGTAATAACCTCAACCAAAACTACGTCATTTTCAAATAATTTGCCAATTTTTTTTTATTTTATTGAGGCTGAAAAATTAAATTATTGGAAACCTGCCGCCTACAAATGTGTTTTACTAGTAACATGCAAAGTTCAGCTGAAATATTTTGTATTATTGAAAGTTTGTGCTTGTCATTCGTAATTTTTCACTATTTGTAAAATATAAATATATATAAAATATAAAATTACAGTGTCATAATTAAAACCTTTTGGAATAAGTTTTTTGGTAAATATTATTTAATAAAAAGCACCACTTTGTGATGCTTGGATTTTCAAAATAAAACAATAATTATTGTGTAACCATTCTAAGTATTAAAAACTTTCTCTTAATGGAATTAATTAAGGTATTGTGTCTCTAAATGTTTCTTGATTCAAAATGATAAATAATTTCTAAAACTTTAATATCTGTGATTCACATGAAACTGAATAAAAATACTTATCGTTTTTCCTCGAAACTCCTACTGCACCATATCTGGAATATGGGGGGTTGTTCAATCAAACCTATCTAACCAGAGGAAGAAGGTCCAAATTCGTTCCGTGGGTCTGCCTTGAAATAAATTTTGACCCGCCCAGGCCGGATTTAAACCGGCGTCATTAGACTTGAAAATTTTAAAGTTTACGCTTTAACACACTTGGCCAACATAATCATTTTTTCCATTTTGTCTGTTGAATAACATGTTTCCAACACTAACTGTCATTGCAATGGCTCAGATCACGCTTAAGTCTGACTCATTTTATGGGGGAACTACTCCCTGATGATCCTGAAGGCTATTTTGAACAAAGTTCTTTTAAAGTATTTCCTCACCAAATAATTTATATTATGTCAAACCAGTTTATGCGGGGCGGGGTGGCCGAATGGGCTAAAGTGTGTGCACTGCACCGCGAGTTGCCTGGCATCCAGATAAGAGATTTGAGAAGATTAAAAAAGTATGAGTTCGCATCCCGGTGCCGGAGGGGATTTTAAATTCCCGCCCTCACCCTCCGGCCCAGGAAAATCCCGTATAGCCTAAAAGGCAAGATAGGGAAGAACAAAAAAAAAAAAAAAAAAACAGTTTATTCTATAGATAATTATGAAATCAAGTGTCAATGATCATTTTTTCTATTGAAACTTGTTTATTAGTGACCAGTGACATTGCTGAAAATGTCACTGTGACACTCATTAGATTCTTTTAAGTAGATATTTTTTTAGCTTGCACTTTTTCATATTTTTTTAAAAGACATTATGCTTTAAAATGTTATTGCATCGAAACAAACAGAATTCTGCTCAAGTGGATATAGACTCAACAGCTCCATAAAGTCTCAGAATATCAAAGTGGTATTTTATTCGAGAATGGCCTAGCTATGAATCTTTGTGAGGTGGATATTTCAATTTATTATGAGGACATCCTAGGGTGACAGTACTTCAACAGTTTTTTGTTATAACTTGCTGGCAACCATTTTGATTTATATATTAAAAACTCTCATTTATTTTTATATTTTTGTGGATTATGAACAAAACATTTCATATCTCAAAGAACATATGAAAATACTGTTTTATCTATCTCATAGCTTTTGATTGATTTTTAAATTGACATGGTTATTATTAATTATTTTTACTTGATTTAAATATATTATTTTAATATTGGTCTGTATTTAAACATTGAATTTTCCGTTACTTCAAAAGTATTTTGATACAATTCAATGCAATCAGGAACAATTTTTTTTTTACTTGATAACCACCAATCTACTATAATTGGGTGAATAGTCATGTAAAAATAAATCAGTCTTTTTTAAATATTTAAAATATCCATAATTTTTTTATATTTATCAGAATTAAATTAAGTGTCATTTTATTAAGACTTAAATGTGTATGTGGACTTTTCATCAACCAGTTTATAACATGTTAATAAATACATGTGCCTTGCTTTGTGTTTATATATATATTATTTCTTTTCATCTTGTATTTATTAGCCTTATGCCATCTGAAGATTGTTTAAAAATAAAATGTCGGTCACAACTTTTGTTGTATACTGAGGCCATAATCTAAGCAGAAATTTTGTGGATATTATTACTCATGAATTAAAAGAAAAAATAATGTTACTATTCAATTTTTATACTTTATTTATACACATCTTTAAGGTAGTATAAGGCTTGTAATGTATTGCCTGACCTTTTTATTTCATATTGTTTTTATTATGACTCTTAGATGTTTCCATGATAATAAAGTGTTGTCTTTTCGCTGACAGAATTTCCTTTTGCACCAATACCTCTGTGGACCGACCATTTAGTTTAAGGGCCCCATTTAATTTTGACTAGTTTTTGTTATTTCTATATTTATTTATTTTTTAATTTATACGTTTTGTCTAACTTGAGATAATTTGTCTATAACTAAAATGCAAACATGCTCTCTCTGAAATTGTAAATTTGAAATAATTGACCAACCTTATATTGAATTTCAATTTTTAAAATTCAAATGAAATTATTTGAGAAAAATATAAAGCTTTTTTAACTTATCTTTTAAATAGCTAGATTTTAAATTGCCGAAGAAATAAGTCTTTGTTGTGTTTTTATGTCTGTGTATATTTTAACAAATTTTTATGCTTGTGTATGTGTACAAACATGGGCAGTATACTTATGAAATAACTAAATTTTTTTTCTATGTATAATACCTGTGCCTGATACATACATATTCATATATTTTGCTTTAAGTACACAGACAGATATTTTTCATAGTAAAAAATTTTATATATGTTTTTGTTGTGGGTTTCCAATTTCCTGCCATATTAACTAACTTTTTAAAAAAATATATTTTTTCAATTATTCATTTCTGAATGTTTTGGGTAAGCAGATGATAATATATTTATTTCCAATTATGAAAGCGAATATGTTTATTATTTTAAATGAATGACTTAAGTGTTTTCAGGTTGGTATAAAATTAGCCATGTTGTTATTTAAATGTTTTATTCAGGTCCTCACCTAGGCTCATGGCTGATAAAGACAATAACGAACTGTCATTTATAAAGAAATATTTTAGTGGCAACTTATCGGGAACTTGATAAGTAAAAAAAATTATAAAACAAAAAAAAAAACAATAAATTGTTGCCTCTAATAATGTGTCTGTTATCTTCTCTAGCCAGACCATAGAAGAGATGGAGAAGAGAGAGGGATAAAGAGAAGAGGGCCCTCTATTTGGTTATGGTATGTGTGTGTTATATGTAGCGCCGTATTGCAAGCATAGCAGAAAGAAACAGTGCGCTAGTAGCACATACAGGCTTGCTGTGGACCATTGAGTTACCAGCATCATTCAGTCCCTGACACACCATCCATGGCAAAATGCAACCTATCGGAGATTGCGGTATACCAATTTGATCATTTCTATTTTACAGTTACTTGCATTCGTGCTCGCCGCCCATCATCCATGGAAACCTCACATGTGATACCATATTTATACAGCACAATGGGCTCGTGAAAATTGGATCAGGTAAAAAAAACAAACAACTGAGCTCAATACAATCGAAAAAATGACAATTTTAATTCGGTAAATCTTCTACTCTTCTATTTATTTATATCTCACTTCCCTTTTATTTACAAATGTCAATAGCTTTTTAGATTTTTTTTTTTGTTTTCTTAATTTTTGAAAAGTTGTATTTTTCTTTTTCAAATAACTTCATTTTATAGCTTGAGTGGAACCATGGTATGTATGTGGAGTGAGATAATAATATATGTGTGTATTTAATATTTAATTGTATTAGAGATATTATCACTAACATATCAATGAAGTATATTACATCGTAGTATTTTAGAAATTTGGAGGATGTGAAAGTGAGTGTGGCGATGATTCGGTCTGGGGGCTCATCGGCTGGAAAGTGTGCGATCGCGAACGATGGGTAGGCGTCGGGTGGAGGGGCTAGTAGGGAAACAGTTGGGTGGGCTTACGACCTGTGCCGTCTCATCGCCTCCCCCCTCCATTATTATTTTCTGCTATAAAATATCTAAGTGATATATTTCATCCTTCCTACTTCATGATTTTAATAAATTTTCTTTTTTTTTTTTTCTTTTTTTTTTTTCTTTTATATAGTCGCTCCAGATACAATACATCACCATGTTAAGACTTGCAGAGAAAACATGAAGAATATGCACTTCATAGCACCTGACTATGGCGGTATGTATGTTATTTTGCATTTTATGTGTTCTGTATCACATTATTATCTATGGTATAAATAATTACATAGAGAATTATTGATGCCTCATAAAGCGCTTTTTGTCATTATTTTGGACTGATAATTGACCAGTTCTAATTATAGAACTTTTTAAATTAAATTTTATATGATTGTGAAATAATTTTTATTGAATTTATCTCAAGTTAAATCTATTTAGGAATTGGAGATGGAGTTATAGTTGACTGTTAAAATTATGAAGATTACAAATAATCAAGATATACAAATGTTGTTTAGTATGCTTAGAATTGTCTGGAAATTTGGAGAGCCTAATAAACAACATGTATCCTCATCATTTGTAAATTATCTTTATCAAACTGTTCTGAATATAATTAAAGAAACATAGCTCTTTGATTCGAGTACATTGTGTTCTTTTTTATTTAAATTTTAAATTACATATTTTAGTTAGTAGAATTAATAGTCTCCTCAATTATTGATAACTAGAATTAATAGTATCCTCAATTATTGATAACTACAATATCAATTGATTATTATAATAACCTTGAGATTCGCTTTTCTCTGTATAATGTAAGAAGCCATCTACTTATTATCTACAACATGTGTGTAACATTCTAACTTTTGAATAGAACATTTATGATATGTCTAACACTACTTTCTTTTTATAAAAACTTGAAACTATTCTTAAGTGTTCACCATTAATAATAATCTAACTTTATAGTGCTATAATTCTCTTGAAGTCTATTTTTATTTTTTATTGTACAGCCAACCTCTCACCAGCCGTGGACATGTATTCTTTTGGGATGTGCGCGCTAGAAATGGCTGCGCTAGAGATCCAAGGCAATGGGGACTCCGGAACGCTGGTGACAGAAGAGCACATCAGGAGAACAATTGACTCCTTGGACGACCCTCAACAGAAAGACCTGATAAGCAAGTGCTTGGCCCAGGACGGTGCTAACAGGCCCTCCGCTAGGGAGCTCTTGTTTCATCCTCTTCTGTTCGAGGTGCACTCTCTCAAGTTATTGGCGGCAGATGCATGGGTCAATGCTACAGGTAATTTTTTTTAATGTAATCCTATTTAATATTTCAATATATCTTCAATGACAATTTATTAAGTAATGTTTAAAGTCATAGATACTTACTTTTAGAGATTTTGATTATTTTTATATAATGTGACTTATTTTATAAAATTTTGAATTTTCAACCCTGTTATACAGACTAATATGAAAATTATCATTATCAGATCCCTAAACATCTGATTTACTATTTAGGATTTCCATAACCATTTTTGTGTTATATTTAATGCCAAATTGGACCCACTCATACTGAATAAGATTATTTTTTTTACAAAATAGATATTCTATGCTTTTATTAGAATTATGCAACATGTTTTAGATTAAAACTAATTTTTACAAGATATTGAGGGCTTATTTATATTTTTCTATGCATTATTTAAGTAAAATTATATTATTTATTTTGTAAGAATCAATTTCCGTTCAGTGAATACAGCTGAAACAATAACTGATGAAGTAGTCCAGCGCATCCCACCGAATGATAAAGTGCTTGCAGAGATCAGGCATCCTGGAAAAGATCCTATCACCTTCACTATGGAAGACACCTCTGTTACTGAAAAACTGGAGAAATTTGTGGAAGATGTCAAGTAAGAATTTTTAATTTTCTTTTTTGTAGATTTCTTCAAAAGCTTATTAGTTTTCAACAAGAGATATTTTATTATATCACAATCATAAATTTTAAGGGAATAAATATTTTAAACATTTATTTAAAAGTAAATGAAAAATTAAATTTTTTAAAGCCATTTCAAATGTGCTATATTTCCTGTTAAACTAAATTATAATTCTAAAAATATTTCAGGTATGGCATCTATCCCCTAACGGCCTACAAGTCAAGACAACAAGCACCAATAAGGCCGAAGAGGCCTGTAAGTCCTGCTGAGGTGACCAGTGAGTCTGTCAAGTCAGCAAGTCCTGAACCTGTAGATTTTGAGGCTCGGAGGGTTGTCAATATGATGTGTAATATAAAGCCCAAAGAGTCATCTCAAGATCTCTTGGTCAGTTCAATTGTTAGTTGTTGTTTTTTTTTTATTTTCTAAATATATTTATATTAAGAATCATTTTCAATATAAAAAAAATGTTTCCTAGTGTGTAGTGGTGAAAGGTATTATCCTTTCAGACCTCGATTGTGCAATAATTAAAAATAATTTAATAATAGAGCCAGCCCAGTTGGATCAGCATATCATCCATCCTCGCTATTTCTATCAGTTACATAATTGATTATATTTCAAGGTCCATGATTTGTAGTTTGGGAATAATATACCCCTCCACCCCACATCCCTATAAATTACATATCGGTATTTTCCTTGTAAGTATTTATTACAAAAAAGCCAATGTTCCCACAAAAAGAAGTGTGAACGCACTGCCCCAAAATGGGGTCCAAACATGACGGACTGATGACTTTGACTTTAGTTAGTCTTTTGGTCATTGAGAATCAGCTTTTATTAAAGTTAGATAGTCATAGAATAATAGAACATGAAAAAATAGTTACAAATAATTGGCTTAGGCAATAAAACGCCAGTAAAGGAAATTTGTTTAACAAAACAATTTTCGAGATGAAAATCAAGCATCATTTGTAATTAAACGGCCAACAATAACGCAAAATGTGCTGAAATAAAACATCTGGAGAATATATTTCTCTTTCTAGAACACTGATTACTTTTTAAAATATTTGAAAAAGTTCCGCACTTATGCGGCAAAAAAGCGGTACTGGTGTAGGTGCCTAGAGGCCTCTACCACACCATTCAGTACTCATAAATGGCTTAGTTATAGTGCTTTAATAACGTTTTTGGTACATTATATTGATTATATTAATGAGCAAATATTAATGCAATAATTTAATTGTCTAAAAAATTTAAAAAAATATTTTTTTTTAATGTTTAATTTAACTTTCTTTATTCTATACGAAGTTCATTTCAGAAGGCCTCTATTGTAAAAATGATATAATTTTAATAATAAAACTTAATTCAAAAATACTTAGCTGAATATCTTAAATTTTTTATTTCACGTTTGCAATTTAACACTTTGTTTTGTGTATTTACTGATTCTTAGAGGTAATTTAAATTGTATATACTTCCTCGGAAATGAGTCATATTAATACCTATTTTATAAACTAAAATAATATATACCTAATCTGAACTACAGATAATGAATAGTTGATGGGTTGTTTAGTAAAACTCATATATCTCTAATGAAAAAAATAATTTTTATTTTCTTTATTTTGTTCGGAAGTTGGATCATATGATTAAAAAATAGGAAATTTTAATATTGAATCCATTATTCTCTCTGCAAAAAGAAAGATGGAAAGGGCAAAGCTATAAGTTCTTCTAGGTAACCGGAACTGATTGTTAGTATATGGTCTTAAAATGACGAAAACTGTGTAATTGAACACAAAAATTAGAAAAATACACTAAGCGAACGAGAAAGGAAGTACCGAAATCTCGGAAAAGAAAACAAGGATCAATATCCATTATTTGGCTAAACGAATATATAGTAGACAGAATATTTCAAGATACTGCTAAAAGGGGATCAAATACTGGTGCAGTTTGGATGATATTAAGGGGACGATGCAGTTTTATTTAGGTTAAGATCATTTTATCAGCAAGAAAGATTTGTTCTAAGTAATTGGCAAGTCAGCAGGCCTTAATGAAGTAAAGAAGGTTTATTATGGTGAAAACCACTTTATTTTCGATTGCTACTGAAGTTGCATATAGGGGCTATATTCACTTTGAAGCAGGTTATAGAGAGGTCTATCAAGAAAGTGAAATAGTTCTCCTCCTGTTTAGTGCATTTGCAAACAATTTTTGAAGGAATCTGAAAGGAAAACGAGCTTTTCTGAAAGACCAAAGAACTAACTAAAGTCAAAGTCGTCAGTCCGTCATGTTCGGACGCCATTTTGGGGCAGTGCGTTCACTTTTTTTTATGGGAACGTTGGCTTTTTTTTTTTTTATAAATAGTTACAAGGAACACAACAGTATGCAATTTATAGCGATGTGGAGGGGGGAGGTGCACGGTAGGGGAATCTGGCCCACCAATCTAGATACCAACTCCTGCAATATCTCTGAACTTCATAAATCATTAGTAGGTGATATGCTCATCATATTTATTTGATTACAGACTGACAGATTAGGAAGCAAATTAGTTTCTTGGTATCTAAAATATAAAATTTTTGATTGAGTAAAAAGTTTTTCTAGTCTCCTGACAAAAATATGAAGCTTCCCTGCCTTTGGTAGTGAGAAAGCAATAGATCTTTGTTTGACTGTGAACCCTTCTACTGTAAGAAGTAATTTGTGTTGCCCAATATATTACTTAGTTGCAAAACAGAAAAAAAAATACTTCATTTTTATCTAATATCTTTTTTAATTATTATTGATTTCATTGTCAAAACTGCTATTTATTGTAAATATTGATTTCTTTAACTGTTCTGTTCTGAACTTACATGATGGATTTTTTCCTAAGTTACAAAAATGTGTTGCTTCTCTATGTAACTTTGGAAGAAGAAATAGTGCTTTTAATAAATTATTAATAAAACTCAGGTTTTCCTGATCTCTTAAATATATGGACTCCCAAGCACATCAGGTCTATAATTTTGGCCGATGGAGAATAAATAAATAGTATTTATTTTATTTCAGATGACGATATTGCTTCGGATGGATGATAAAATGAACAGGCAGCTTACCTGTCACGTCTCTGATATAGATAATTCCCTAGTTCTTGCTGAGGAGCTAGTCCATTTTGGATTCATCAATGAGGTATATTGATATTAATTAATTCTTTGTTATTTGGTAATGATGACTTTCAATTAACAACAATTGAATTTATTTGTTGTATTTTCAAATTACATGTTTACGAGTTAACGTTTCGGGATATTTACTCCCATCTTCAGAACTACAATCCCAATGATTTTTTGTTGATACATGGCTGAAAAATTGAGTTATATTATAGTGCATGTTACAATACATGTCGGAATTGGGTTGTTACATTAGATTTAAGGTAATTACAAATTTAATGTTACAACCCAATTCTGACATGTATTGTAACATGCACTATATTTTAACTCAATTTTTTAGCCATGTATCAACAAAAAATCATTGGGATTTTAGTTCTGAAGATGAGAGTAAATATCCCAAAATGTTAACTTGTAAACATGTAATTTGAAAATACAACAAATAAATTCAATTGTTGTTTATTGGAAGTCACCATTGCCAAATAACAAAGAATAACATACAACTGACAGGAAAAAAAAGATATTAATTAATCACTAAATTATTAGTATTATTAACTATTAATCTCAGGGATGAAAAGATAAATTGTATAAATTTCTTTTTACAAAAATGGTAATAATATTTTTTTCAGGCTGATAAGGAAAAAATCTCCATGCTGATCGAAGAAGCGCTACACACTGGGAAGCTGACCCGACAGCAACAACAGCAGATCGCTTGCGGTTCTCAAGTGATCAATTCTTTACCGCTTTCACCCCCGCTACAGACCACCAGTTAGTCACCGGCTGTCATCACTCCCGTTTCCTCAGCTCATCGATATTCACTACATAGCTCTTCTATCATTTATATGTTTTATATTTAATATTTCCTCTAGTGTATGAAATACTTTAGGGTTTAAAGTATGCGTGTATATATGTTGATATTAATATATATACGTATTTTGACTGAACCGTCTGCCCATATCACAGAGCCATACAACAATATATCTGCCTCTGTCATCGTCATAACATTCCTAATGTTCTAATTTATTCAACTCACGCTTGTTGATTCAGGCGCTCTTGTTGATATTATTTCGAATCATTAATTGATTAGAAAACTTGTTTTTAGTCAAAATTATTTTTGATAATAAGGTTATTAAAAAGTGATATATGTATGAGTTTAGAATCTATTAAGTGGTTGCAATTACGTTGAGATAGGAGCCTGGCTCTTCTAATAGTTTCAGGCAAGAACAAGAAGACTTATATCATATGTATTTAGGAACAGCCCTTAGGTTGTGTTTGTTAAATCCTTTCATAAACCCACATTATGATTTGGCTGCCTGGAGGTATAGATTAAAAGACTTGTATGTTTTAGTCTTATATATATGTTTTAGTATATTTAAAAATAGGGGATGTACCATTGGAACAACACTATATATTTCTGTAGTAAAGATAATGGCTCGATATTCTTAGTTTCTTTTTTCTTTTTTGTTAACCATTACTCTATATATATTTTTGAATTATTCCAGCTGTACATTTATGGAGTTAGAATCGGGTCTTTATCTTTACTGTTTAACGGTTCTTTGTTCCTGTTTTATTATATAATTACTCACTTTTAGTGGAATTTTTTTTTTAACAGTGTATTAAATAAGCAGTGCATGTTGTCTTTATCCCTATTATTTTTTTGTATATTCTTTTATTTATTTAATAATAAAAGTTGTGTGAACAAAGCTCATTAATATCTTTGATAGGGTAATAAAATAATGATGAGGTACAGCTGTGCCTGGGGGTGTATTTGTATTATTTTATATATAAATACAATATACAATGTGAATAAATTTGATATGAATAACTGAAAATTATGTGATATATATATTTTTTTATAAGTTATCGCCAATGTTCTAATAGATGTAATAAAAATACTTGATAACATCCACAAGAGCCAAGATTTGATTATTGTCAGTTGTACGCTTTATAATATTTTTTTTTGTTTTGTTATTTCAGCCAGTAGCATTTATTTATCACCCAAAAGGGTTCTGTTTTTGCAATTGTATGCATTAATTATCTTGTATTTAAACAGCCTGCTATAACACTATGCTTTCTTCTCATATCGTCTTCCTTTATTATGTTCATGTTTTTAATATTAAGATTTTATTTATTTATTTCATTCACAAAAAACTTAAAAAAATTAATAAGAATTATTTGTTTTTTAAAAACCTTGTTTGTTGGAAAGTTGAAAGTCGTTCTAGTATGATGTTTGTTTTCGTTTGCACAAAACTATTGTCTGAGTATTGAGCAATACTTTTTATGTACTGATCAGTTTTTTTTTTATTTTTGTGCGAAAACTGATGAGACCGCACCTAAAGCACTCAATTCACTCTTGTCGATAACTTTTACATAATGTATTTATTGAAACTGATTATCTAAATGAATAGTTATTTATTATTCAAGTTTTTAATTGACTGATATTTGCTGCGATATAAGCTGAAGGCTGTTATTATATTAATTATTATTATTATTAATTATTAGTATTGAATTATAATCCATTGTTAAATACATACCAAATGAATTTTTATTTGAAATCAAATGATTTTGTTTATCCCTAAGTCAAATAGTTACTTCTCATATCATATGTAAACAGTCAATAAATGTAAGGAGTAAGTTAAGAACTATCAGGGTCTGTGGAAGAGAATTATGAAAAAAAGAAATTATATAAATACTGTTTTTATATATCCATTGTACCAACAGTGAATAGTTAATGTTACTAAATGCTTTAAATATTTTTTTAAATGTTTTGAATATATCTAATTGCCCAGGCTGCAGGTAATCTATTGCTGTTTTCTAATATATTAGTATTAAATGTACAGTGTTACAGAATTCCTATTGATATCTTAAATATCGACTTGATTAGCTTCTATTTTGCATCTTTAACTCTCAACTCAATAACATAGTCGGTTACCTGTTAGCCTCTCTTCCTCGGTCGAATGCAACTTGTATAATCAAATATGGGAAGGACTGTCAACAATTATTATTAAGAAATATACTGTCTTTTGCTTTTTTTTTTTAATATCTTCTTTCTCCATTGTTTTTATTTCCTTACCTCAATTACCTTTAATAGTAAAAATGTACAAATCATTTATGTTTCTTACACAAGAGTTTAAAACATCACATGTATACATTTAGTATGTTAACAACTTAATATAATAGAATTAATAAATGCATTTATAAAATCTCAAAAGGATGCTGAGCACAAAATATACCTTGTTATTTTATCCATTTATTTGGATATCTTTTGAATTATATAAAACTGTTTTCAGTCATTGATTTGTTTTCACTATAATTGAAAGCTAAAAGGAGAAAAATATCACCCGTAATTGTGATTTATTTTAATATAAAGTACCCTGAATAAAGTAAACACGTGGTTTTTATGTATTATAAGGTGGGAGTAGTGAGTAATGAGGAGAGTACTGATGGAAACAAATGTAAAACATCATGTATCTCTCAATAGTAAGTTATTACTACAAGGAATTTAATCTTTATGTATATGATTATTTAAAAATATGATAATCACAATTAAGGATGATGTATCACGCCTTTTAGGTCTCAATCATAATGACAACAACAAATGTTTGTAAACATTTTTATATAATTCAGAGGATATCCAAATAAATGGATTAAATAAGTGAGGTATATTGTATTCTCAGACTCCTTTTGAGAATTACTATCATAATCATATCATATTGAATTTTTAACATACAAAATGTACAGATGTATTGTTTTAAGTACTTAAAGACGAGTATGGTGCTATGCACTGTAAGTTTCTAGATATAATAACATGAAATGTGAGACTTTTTGAAGGGTAACACATTATTTTCCTTTTTAAAACAGGTGTCCAAATATCCTTCCAAAATAATGTATGTAATCAAAATTATTATTATTTTTTTTTTTCACATCAAGGGGTAAATGTTTATACGACTAAACCTTCCATACATGGAACATAAGGTTCCTTAAAAAAAACAACTACAGTTTGTGCTTTAGATCACATGATAAAAATGTAACAATACAACATTGATAATGTGAAATATAATTTTTTTTTGTTCTTTATTCACAAAATAATAACATTTCCAATATATACAGCTATAGTTGTGTACAAACTATTTTTTGTTCTATATTAACAAAGTTATAACATCTACAATATATACAATTCTAATTGTGTATAAATTACTCGGATCCAGGATTTAATTTTGGGAGGGCTTCAGCCAGAAGTTATTTTTTTTTTATACATATATACGATTATACTTTGAGAAAATGAAAGAAACTAACTACCTATATCAAATGATGTTTAAATGATTCTTGAAGTTCTATTAAATATTATTACATGAATAATAAAACTTTTAGAGATAGATTTTTCATATTTATTTCATAAGATGGTTATGTCTAACCATTTTGGGGGGAGGGGGCTTCAGTCTGAAAGTTTTTCTGCTTCCAAATATTTTGATATTAGCATTCCTCTACTTTCCTCAAGTTTGTTGTGGTTTTGCTCTGTTCATAAATTTACTTCTCCAATTTCATAAAATATAGCTATAATCTAGGAGGGCCAGGAGTAAGTCTGTCTGTTATAGAATTTCCTTGATAATCCAGAGCCAGGCCTGTCAAAGATCTTCAAGCCAATTTAAGGTTAGTTATAAGAAATGGCAGTCAGGGATGCCTATCTCCCTACTCCCCCTCCCCCAGGTCTAAGGCACATGAACCTCCCTCCTTCCCAATATATTTTATTGTTCTCGTTTCCTTATAAACAGTGTAACCTAAAGTATCATTTAACAAATCATAGTTCAAATACAACTACACTTACAGTGGTTAATTATGTGTTTTCCTCCTGTCCCCTGGTTTTTATTCCAAAAATTCATAACCCAGTCGAAATATATCTACCTATTCTATCACCGATTCCAAAATTAATTTTCACACAAAATGGCTGACACAATGATTAATCATTTAAATCTTGTCTCCTTAGTCTTTAACACTGCTCAATGCTCTTGAGCCACACAGATGTACAGTATATGTTGAGAGAGAACTCAAAAATAGTTATATCTTCTATAGTTTTTAAGAAATACAAACATCTATATTGGCTTGGACTTAAGATGTAAATACCCTATTAGTTGAAACACTTGAATTAATAAATAAATTATTGTTTTCCATACCTGTTTCTTTTAGTTATTTGTTTACTGAGTAAAGGTTTTTATTTATCTTTGTTCTTTATTTTTAATGTATCTATTGATTTTTGGGTGGAATACTCCAAAACAGTAGGTAGAATACTTCAATTAGTTTTTGATTGGAGTAGCTCAGTAGAGTAACAACTGGACCCCCAACTCTTAGGCTTGACTTTGAGTCCCATTGTGACAGGCAATTTATTTATTTTCATTGAGGATTCCCATTAATTCTCACATTCATTAAAGTAGTTTCCTTGCTCTTCATTGGAATGGAGTACAAGAACTCAGGTTTACATTTTTAAATAGTCGCCTGATTAGTACAGACGATTACCTAACTGCAGACTAATTCAATTTTACAATACATTCCTGATACTCTCCCCTCCTTAATCATGCATTTTGACTACAAAACTTCATTCATAATGTTAAAAACAGCTTTTTTTTTACTAATTTGCATAATGCCAAAGCAACTGATGCAATGACTTCAGCATCTCTTTGAATTAGTTCTTTTCAAATTTGAATTGATACATTTGCTAAGCCATAGAATTAAGGCAGAAATAGCCTGTTTAGTTTTGATTGGAGAAGCTTGATCTGTA